TATATAAAATGAAGGCTAACTATGAAATTACTTAAAATTTTACAAAACTCTCACATATACACACAAATATACATTCATAGGAACTACAGATTGGAATACTATTACTATAGATACTGACAAACATAATTTAAAGCTGTAAAATTGATATAACAATATTTATTAAAACACTCTCATGAGTTAAAGTAACTAAACATGTGAGCAGCCAGTATCATACTCAGAACATAATTGACACTCAATTAATGGTTGGTTTTATCATTTCTCAAATATTATATTAGTTTTACCAATGGGATTATACCTTCCCTTGACTAGGGGCACAGAAAAAGAATACATATACATTTTATATTAAGAAGTATAAATATATAAATTATATATTTAAAAATATAGTCCTTAACTTTTGTTATATAAATATACTAGAGGCCCGGTGAAGGGATGACCCTCAGCCCAACCTGCACTATCTCCAATCTGGGACCCCACAGGGATCAGGCCTAAACCAGCAGTCAGACATCCTTCTCGCAATCTGGGACTGCTGGTTCCCAACCACTTGCCTACCTGCCAGCCCAGTCACCCCTAACTACCCTCCCCTATCAGCCTGATTGCCCCCGACTGCCCTCCCCTATTAGCCTAATTGCCTACAACTTCCCCCGACCTCCCAGCTTTATTGGCCATCTTGTGGAGGCCATCTTTGACCACATGGGAGTGGCCATCTTGTGCAAGGGTATGAGGGTCAATTTGCATATTATCTCTTTATTATATAGGATGTTTATGTATTAATAATTATTACATATCATATTTATATTACATGCCATATATATTTTTTATTGTTTACATTTACATAAATATAATATGCACACATAAATATATTCTGTCAGCTCAAGAAACTCCTAATTTTATGTATTATATTTATAAGCAAAAAATGACATAGTCCTAAATAAGTAGTATTCTAATTATATTTATTTGCAATCTTGAATTAATCAGGATGCTTATAGGACTGTGGTTCAAAACATGTTGAAATATCTATGCATATCCTATCTAACAAAAGAGTAATATGCAGATTAACATCACTCCAACACACAAGATGGCTCCCCCCATGTGGACACAAGATGGCCACCATAAAATGGCCAGCAGGAGAGCAGTTGGGAGAGACCAGGACTGCAAGGTAGGGCAGTTGGGAGCCAACAGGCTGGCAGGAGAGCAGTTAGACATGGTTAGGGGTTGATCAAGCTGGCAGGCAGAAACAGTTAGGGGCATCAGGAAGGCAGGCAGGCAAGCAGTTGGGAGCCAGCAGTCCTGGATTGTAAGAGGGATGTCTGCCTGCCCAGGTGGGATTGGGCCTAAATGGGCAGGCAGACATCCCTCAAGGGATCCCAGATTGGAGAGGGTGCAGGTTGGGCTGAGGGACATGCTCCCCTCCACCCCGTGCATGAATTAATACCAGGCCTCTAGTATTAATTATATAAAACTGTAGATACCATACTACTATTAACATACTTTAGATGATACAATTATAATTAATTGGAAATAAAAGCTACCTTGAAACCATCAAAAACTTTTTAAGTTTTAGGTCATGTTTGCTAAATGTACAAAGTTTGCAGATGGTAGCCTCATAGACACTTCTAAGAACCCTCACAACTTCATAAAGACTATCAGGCGAGAAGGCTTGCAGTAAATAAAAAAATATATATATATATTATTTTCCGTCAGTGATATGATGCAATAAATAATAATGAAATTAACTTATTTGCCATCACGTGGCATCTGTAAAGGACAGATATTAAGTCAGCCTTTTCATATGCCCATGGGGCATGTATGTGGGTTTCTATAGAAAATTGAAACAGAGAGGTATGATGACTGATCTAAATCATCTACCGTAAGTCACACAGAAACTTAGCCATGGCCATGAGAACGGAATCCAGATCCCCTGGCTCGGTGCAGTGTATCATCTATTGTATCAAGTTGTTTTCCTTGGCGAAAGGAAAAAGAGGCCTGGACCTATTCTTCTGGATTGATTTTTACAAAACACCTGGGAAGCAGGCCCAGAGCAATTGAGACATCTGAGAAGTGTGTAAGTATTGTTTTCAAGGGATTACTAGCATAGAAGCTCTCTCACTCATCTTTAGAAAGAAATATGTGACACCAGATGGTAGGTCACAGGCCTGGCATCATAAGGAAAAGAGATTTAGGAATACTTTCACTGTACCCAGAGAGAAGGTACAGGAGAAGAAAGGAGGGTATTGGTTCTTCACCCCCCAACCCCCCAATTACAGTGTAAACCTGCTTGAAAAGCCTGATTAGATCCTCAAAGAGGAAAGATAATAACAAATAGCTCAGTGAACAGTTTGGAATGTGATAGGTAAGATATTACCCCAAATTGTGCAAATGTCTCCCAGTCTTGATGACAACTTCCATGCAGAAACTTTGCAATCACTACAGTAATTTAAAGCAGAGGTGGTTATTGCTGCCATTCCATACAGATCCAGAATGTGTTTAATTCCTTTATTTCAACTTACGTTATATTTCACATTTGTGTTTTTTAGAATTACTCTAAAAAGTTATTGCTGAATATGTAGGTTTAATTTCTTGCCAACTTAGCAAAGGGGAGAAGGAATAATAACCCTTTCTGAAGAGGGCAGCTGGAGGATTCGGTCAGAAGACCAAGATTCCTCTGAGATGGGGGATGAAGATACTTGAAAAGGCGTATCTGTGCCCAAAGCATCTATTGCAAAGCAAACAGAGCCAAATATGGAAAATGAAAGACAGTTGCGAAAATATTTCCAAAGAAGTGATGTCACTTCAATTGAGCTATCATCATAAATAAGAGTTCCTATATAATGTCCTCATAAACTAAAGGAAGAGATTCCTATATTTCCCCCCAAAAAATAAAGGGCAAGTAATGTTGACTTGTTGGGGCAGCATGAGATGGGAGGGCATATACAATCCACTGCTGCTGTTACCTGCATAGATGTAGAATAAATTCTGCTTGTGGGTTTAGCCTGCAGGTACTCTGCCCGATGACTGATTGGCATAATCTGGCCATGTGCCCCAAACTTCCAGAAGCGGTGGGTATTGTGGGAAAATATAAGTTGAACACATCTTAGAGGCAGCCTGGTACTGATCTTTGGAGGCCAATATGTTTCAACTACAGACCCCAAAGTAAATATTTACCAGTTGTGGTAAAAGTTTAATTGTAGGGCAGAGCCAGCAGCTGAGGAAGCAAGGAGAGGCAAATCATACTTCCTGGCTGTGCTTTGCTTACCGGTGGTATAATGACCTATTGCACCCACGTGAGCAGGTTCTTGGTCCTGCGCTTACTTCATCAGCACTCCTGATGAAGAGCTTAAAGGAGCTAATTTTACAACCTGATTCATATCATTTTCCAGATTTGTATAATAGGGAGTTTCCTTTGTGAATTCCATTTGTACAATAAGAGGATATTATACACACCAGGTGTTTTGCTGGAGTGTGTTATCAATACTTAGGACTCTGTGTCTTTAGGATTAGTGGTGATGAGAAAACAGGAAGGCTCAGAAGAAAAACATTTAGCTCAGGCAAGGAATTTATATTCTAGTTAGCACAAGATGGAATTAAAAGGAAAATTAAAGTGGTTCCTATGGCAAGGAATGCCAGATCTTTCTATGACCCAAGAGGAAGACTTTTTTCGTTCTAGGCTCAGTCACTAAGCATTCAGGGGAGGGTCTTATGTTCAGAGCAGCACACAGGATGTCTGGAAACATAGTGTCAAAGGGAAATGTCTCCTCAGGGAGGCCAATGGTCTTTTCCGTAACTTAAATGTCTCCCTGCAGATCAAAGTGTTTCATTGACCTAATGCACTGAACTCTCTCCAGTCATGATTTAATATATGAGGAAACAGGTCCTATGCTAGTTAGTCATACCCAGAGAGGCTATCCAAGCATTTTGCACCACACTCCTTCAGGATTCTTTTTTAAATGGCCAATTTTCCCAGTAAGCATTACAAGAAAAAAAAAAAAATTTAAGGCAATAATTTGAAAAGTAATATTCTCTCTCTCTCTCTCTCTCTCTCTCTCTCTCTCTCTCTCTCTCTCTCTCTCTCTCTCTCCTTTTCTTTTTAAACCTAGGCTTCAGTGAGCGCCCTCATTAAAAAAAAAAAAAAAAGAAAAGAAAAAAAAAAAAGAAAGAAAAAGCGCCTTTTAGAGAAACTGCTTGCAGGCAGAACCACTTGTGCACTTGTGTTCCTCAACAATTGTTTCCACTTGCCCCCTTGGTCCCTTCTCTGGGCCAGCAGCGGCGGCTGTGTCTGCAGTAACACCACCAGGCGGACACCCGGAGGGGACACTTGTGCCCCAGACTAGGATACTAGCAGAAGCTTTCCCCTCACCCACAGAGAAGATCCCACACCAGAGCATGTGGAAACCTTCACCGAATTCATCTATTTGCTTTTCCAGTTCGGAGTCTGAAAGTCCTTCCCTCCGCAAAGAAAAGTGGATTTCTTCCCCTCCTCCCACCCTCCTCTCCTCTGCAAACACTCCTAGGTCCAAACCTTTCTTGTTAGAACTAGTGGCAACGCAGGCATTTCATTTGGGGATCGCGCCTGTGCCTGCTCTGTAGCGCCGAATTCCCCTCTCCATTAACTCAGCTATAAATGTCGGCTTATTTATTTATTTATTTATTCTAATTCTCTCTCAAACTCACAACCTGTGGACCGGGGCTCTGACCCGTGCAGCGCGGAGGGAGCTGCGGGCTCGTGCTCCGATGCCCGACCAGGTGACGCCTCGTCGCAGTCTTCAGAGGCCAGTGCCCCCAGCGGGCTCCTCCAGGGGGGTGAGGATTGACGGGCGCCCTGGGCAGGAGACCATGACTGCGCCCCTCTGCCCCTGGCCTCTCTGCACCCCTGTAGCTCCAGTTCCCTCGGCCAGCCGGTGACTATTGGCTGAAGTTCCCCGGCGATTTGCATGAGCGGAGAGGGAGAGGGAGAGGGAGTGTCTTCCGCCGCCAGGAGCGCGCCCGCCGCAGCCTCCCGGGGAATGCGCGGCCGGCGGGGAGCGCGCCGCTCGCGGGCCCTGGCACAGAGCGGGCGCCCGGCGCCCTGGCACCCGCGCCCGGATATGGGGCGGCTCGGTCGTCCCGGCAGCTGCAGCACCAGCCGGAGGAGAAACCTGCCGGTAAGGGGGGCCGGCGGCTGGGGCGCAGAGGCCCCGCGACAAGTTGCGGTACCGCGGGCAGTTCCCACGCCCGGAGGGTTTGCAAACATTTTCCCTTCATCCAAACTTCGCGGGAAGGCTGGGCGGAGGGAGAGGGAGTTTGGAATTGTGCATCTTCGTTTTAGCAAGGAACAGGCAAGACCTTGGGGGTCGTGAGAGGAAGTTTCTGAGGCTGAAATGTAGGCGGGTGAGGTGAAGGAGCGAGGGGGGGGGGTGCGGTGGGGGCTCCATCCGCTTCAGAGAGGGGGTCCGGAGATCTGTCCCCGCGGCCGGCCGGCGTCTGGCTGGCTCTCCTGCGATTGGCACATTGTTTTCGCGCAATCGTTTTCCGCGTTTACTTCTTTTCCTCCCGGGAGGGGGGTCAGTCAGGGCTTCCCTACTCTGTGATGTGATGGGGAGCCAGATCTTTGGGATTGCATTGCAGATCTTTGCTGAAATGAAAATGACTTCTTCTGGCGTAAAGTGTTTATTTAATGCGGGGGGGTGGGGGGGAAGGAGAAGGAGGGGTGCCCGAGCCCCGAAAGGGTTACTCTATTTTCCGTATTATTATCATTAAGGATAAATGTAATTGTCATTGCTGCTGTCGGTTTCATCATAAGGGATGTCACCCATTTCGCGTTCCAAGGGGGTTTCGCGGTAGAAATATTTCCATAAAATAAATGGATAAAGTGCCCATCTCATCTTCTTCACCAACATCCCCCTCCTCTGCCCCCCCTTACCCCCACCCCCCAGTCCCTCGCCTCCCCGGGTGGCTTCCCTGCCGCGTTGCGCAGTCCAGGGCAGGTCCTCCCTGTGCCCTGTCCCCAGGGAGGCTCTGGGTTAGGGACCCCGGACATCCCCTGCGCGAGAGTGGGGATGGGCAGCGGAGGTAGAAAGTAAACAGGAGAAAAAATATGTAAGTTTGGGGGGAAAAAATAAGTTTAGATTTCTTCTTCGCAGTAAGTTTCCTCTTCAGCCCGCCCCAACCTGAGAGGGTTTGCCTCCGGGGCTGGTGGTGAGGGCAGCCTGACCCGGGCCTTGGCTCTACCTCCCATCTGGGTTAGAAGCCAGGCGGCCAGTGTGTAACGAGGCTTCTCTCCTCCTCCACCCACTTGCAGCCTCTGCTTCTGTGTCTCCTCTTCGTGGGACCCTTCCACTGCCTGGCCAGCTACAGCCGGGCCACGGAGCTCCTGTACAGCCTGAACGAGGGGCTGCCGGCCGGCGTGCTCATCGGCAGCCTGGCCGAGGACCTGCGCCTGGCGCCCCGCGCCCCGGGCCGGCCGGACCCGCAGCCGCCGCAGCGCGCCCCGCAGCCCGGCCCGCCGCTCTCCTTCAGCCTGGCCTCCCGCGGCCTCAGCGGCCAGTACGTGACCCTGGACAACCGCTCCGGGGAGCTGCACACGTCCGCCCGGGAGATCGACCGCGAGGCCCTGTGTCTGGAAGGAGGCGGCGGTGGAGGGGCTGCCGGGGGCGACAGCATCTCCATCGCCTCCTCCCCTTCTCCGGACTCCTGTCTGCTGCTGCTGGACGTGCTGGTCCTGCCTCAGGAATACTTTCGGTTCGTGAAGGTGAAGATCGCCATCCGGGACGTCAATGACAACGCCCCGCGGTTCCCCGTTTCCCAGATCTTGGTGTGGGTCCCGGAGAATGCACCTGTCAACACCCGCCTGGCCATTGAGCATCCTGCCATGGACCCCGATGTAGGCACCAACGGGGTGCAGACCTACCGCCTGCTGGACTACCACCGCATGTTCACCCTGGACGTGGAGGAGAATGAGAACGGGGAGCGCACGCCCTACCTCATTGTCATGGGCCTGCTGGACAGGGAGACCCAGGACCAGTATGTGAGCATCATCATAGCCGAGGACGGTGGCTCTCCACCTCTGCTGGGCAGTGCCACCCTCACCATCGGCATAAGTGACATTAACGACAACTGCCCTCTGTTCGCAGACTCGCAGATCAATGTCACGGTGTATGGGAATGCCACGGTGGGCACACCGATTGCAGCTGTCCAGGCTGTGGATAGAGACTTGGGGACCAACGCCCAGATCACCTACTCTTACAGCCAGAAAGTTCCACAAGCGTCCAAGGATTTGTTCCACCTGGATGAAACCACCGGCGTCATTACACTTTCCAGCAAGATCGGGGGGAGTGTCCTGCAGACACACAGGCTCACCATCCTTGCTAATGGTCCAGGCTGCATCCCTGCTGTGATCACGGCCATGGTGTCCATTATCAGAGTCACTTTCAGACCACCGGAAATCGTCCCTCGTTATATAGCCAACGAGGTAGACGGCATTGTGTATCTGAAAGAGCTGGAGCCTGTAAACACTCCAGTGGCTTTCTTCACCATAAGAGATCCAGAAGGTAAATACAAGGTGAACTGCCATCTGGATGGCGAAGGGCCCTTTAGGTTATCGCCCTACAAACCGTACAGTAACGAATATTTGCTGGAAACCACAAAACTGATGGATTATGAGCTACAGCAGTTCTATGAGGTAGCTGTGGTGGCCTGGAATTCTGAGGGATTTCATGTCAAAAAGATCATTAAAGTTCAACTTTTAGATGACAATGATAACGCTCCTGTTTTCCTCCAGCCCTTGATAGAACTAACCATCGAAGAAAACAATGCACCCCATGCCTTCTTGACGAAGTTGTATGCTACGGATGCTGACAGTGGTGAGAGAGGCCAGGTGTCCTATTTTCTGGGACACGATGCTCCATCCTATTTTTCCTTGGACAGTGTCACCGGAATTCTGACAGTGTCTACTCCGCTGGACCGAGAAGAGAAAGAGAAGTACAGGTACACAGTCAGAGCAGTTGACTGTGGGAAGCCACCCAGGGAATCGTTAGCCACCGTGGCTCTCACCGTGTTGGATAAAAATGACAACAGCCCTAGGTTCATCAACAAGGACTTCAGCTTCTTTGTGCCGGAAAACTTCCCAGGATACGGCGAGATCGGAGTAATTAGCGTAACAGACGCTGATGCTGGGCGGAATGGATGGGTTGCCCTGTCCGTACTGAACCAGAGTGATATTTTTGTCATAGACACCGGAAAGGGCATGCTGAGAGCTAAGGTCTCTTTGGACAGGGAGCAGCAAAGCTCCTATACCTTGTGGGTGGAAGCTGTCGATGGAGGTGAGCCCGCCCTCTCCTCTACCACAAAAATCACCATTCTCCTCCTTGATATCAATGACAACCCTCCGCTTGTCTTATTTCCTCAGTCTAATATGTCTTACCTGTTGGTTCTGCCTTCTACTCTCCCGGGTTCCCCCGTGACAGAGGTCTATGCTGTTGACAAAGACACGGGCATGAATGCTGTCATAGCCTACAGCATCATAGGGAGGAGAGGCCCTAGGCCCGAGTCCTTTAGGATTGACCCCAAAACTGGCAACATTACTTTGGAGGAGGCTCTGCTGCAGACAGATTACGGACTCCACCGTTTACTGGTGAAAGTGAGTGACCATGGTTACCCTGAGCCTCTCTATTCCACGGTCATGGTGAACCTATTTGTTAATGACACTGTCAGTAATGAGAGCTACATCGAGAGTCTTTTAAGAAAGGAGCCGGACATTAATATAGAGGAGAAAGAGCCACAGATCTCGATAGAACCCACTCATAGGAAAGTCGAATCTGTGTCCTGCATGCCCACCTTAGTAGCCCTGTCTGTAATAAGCTTGGGTTCTATCACACTGGTAACAGGGATGGGCATATACATCTGCTTAAGGAGAAGGAAAAAGCACCCCAGGGAAGATGAAAGTTTGGAAGTACAAATTCCACTAAAAGGAAAAATCGACTTGTACATGAGAGAGAGGAAACCGATGGATATTTCTAATATTTGATACTTCATTGTGGAATAACACAGAGATGTTTTAATAGACATTGGATAGTCTTCACCACCCAAGCAAGGTGGTATGGATGAGTTCTAATGAAGAACTACTAATTTATAACTTGTACTATATTGTAAATAGCGGTTTACAGGTTTTTAAATTCAAAATCAGAGGTTATAAAATGTGTACAGCATTTTTAATGAAAATTAGTACTAACCGCTATAGAACTATTATAAAAAAATATTGGCTATGCTTTGCAGGTTTTATACATGAAGAAAATGATTGATAAAATCTGGGAGTAAGGTAAGAAAATGACACATTGCATTTTTTGTCTACAAAATCTTTTAACCACAAGAGGGCAACAGCTGCTCCTTTGCAGAGAACTGTTTTGGGTTATTATTCATGACAGTTGTTGTACATCAAATTAATGAGAGAGTATATTTTAAATATATTTGTTTATGATATTTAACAAATAGAAAATTAAAATAAGTTGAATTTCACCCCACTTAAATGTATGATAAGAGAAGAAATGTATTTGTAAACAGAACATTTATCTTACACGTATGTCATGCGTCGTTTGAAAGAGAAGGCATTACAAAGAAGTGCAATCTTTTTTTTTAGCTAGAATAAAAACATTGCCATATGTTATTAAAAATTTGACCTGCTGAAGACTATTTCACTTTCTGTGTACTCAAACTGCTATCTGTTTGCTTTACCGCTGAACTTGCTATTATTATAGGGGGAAAGATACATATGTCCTTCCTTACAGAAAATATAACTAGAAATTGTGTCCAAGAAAAACAGCCAGAGCAAGAAATATTTTCAATCCTTAGTTGCTTCATAGCTGTTCACCACATTTTGGTACTTTCAAAACTTGTGAGCAGTACTTCATACTTGGGTTATATATTAAATATTTATATGCTTAAACTTATCCATCTCGTAAGAAACTTTTAAAAAAATCATATTAAAACAGGATTATTCTAGAAGCTGGTGTAGACTACTGGTTGTAGTTGGGCATTTATATGAAAGTTATACTTCTCTTTTTGTTGTTGTTTAGGTTTGTTGACTACCATTTCTGGCTTCCTTTCCTTGGCTTTGGATTAAGTCCAAGAGTATTTATAAGCCCAGCAGCAGAGTTCTTTGATAATGTAGCTTTTGCTGAATCCTTGCAATGAAGCAAACTGATTCATCAGTAATTGATCACTTTTATTGTGTGAACTGAAAATTTTATTTTTTATGAGCACTATAACAAAATTATCTGTATAAATAAATAATGTGTTAGCTTAAACTGGATCATCTTGCTTTTTGGCATCCCATGTCTGTACTGTACCAAAAGTGTTTATATGTCTGCAAATTAAAAGTTTATATTTTCATAATTTCTTTCTCATTTTTACCATTTTCTATTTGGCTTGTTCTTTCACTGAAGTGCCTGTTATTGGCATTTGTTTGCTTCTAGAGGTAAATGTTGGTATACTGTAAATATTCTGTGATGCTTAAGTTTACATTAAACTAATTCATTACTCAATTAAACATTGAATAAATTATTAAGTATGTGTGTAGTAATAGACATACACACACACACACACACACACATATATATATATATATATATATATATATAAAGATAGAAAGAGAATATGCCTATATGTTTGCTAGAAGTACATATGATAATTTACACCCAAGTATGTGCAAATACATATTAATTTAATGAGTTAGTATCAATTATAAACATTTATTTTACTACATATAGCAATCCTGTTAGCTTTATTACAATAGCTTTCAATAAATTTTAAAATAAAAATATATTGCAAAAAATAATTTGAATGCAAACACCTAAAGACTTTCAAATTTGTATCAACCTAATTTTTCTTGTTTTCTTCAGTTTTACAATATGAATAAAATGTAAGCATATGAGGCAGTAATATTTGTTATGAAAAGGTAGTATATTTTTATTAGAAACTTATTTTGTATAAGAGACACATGAACTAAGAAACTAAGATCATTCATCCCTAAAATTTTTCATTTATAATTGATGTCTAGCCATTGAGGAAACCATTCTCTACCAGTCTTTTCTTTTTTTTTTCTTTCTTCTTCTTATTTATCTTTTTTTTTTTTTAAAGAAGGAGCTACATATGAAACAAGGAGCACCATTAATTAAAAAAAAAATCTCCATAAGTGCAATGATTTAACCATCAGTAAAAAACAAACAAACAAAAAACCAAGATATTTTTTCATATCTAAATTTGGAGAAGATTCATATTTTTGGGGGTATGGACTTTATCTCTAGCATGAGAAACGCCTGTAACTTAATAAAAAGATATATTTCTGAAAAACTTGTCCCCAGATTTCCTTTACAAAAACATCTCATTCACATTAAAAACATTTATAACAAGGGAAGTTAAAGTAAATTAAGCTCAGAGATAATGGCTTCTTTTTACTAATACCTTGTGCTAGAACAGTTGCCAAAATGTATGCTAATCATGTCAATGTTGTTAGTTGAACTGGCACGAAAATAAACGTTCCATTCATTAAATAACCTAATCTCCATTTAACAGTTTGAGAACCAGGAATCCTCTTTGCCCAATTTAATGAAGAAGAGATTGCTCTGATCTTTGCACTGCCAAATACATTCTTAAACCATAGAGAAAATTGTTCATTAATTTGGGTTGGGAAATTTAAAACCAACATAGCAATTTCAGCTCCAGGGAAAAAACAATTTACATTACTTGACTCTTTAGGGTAGATTCCTTGATTCCCCCCAAACCCTCCCCCCTTTTAAAAAAAAATTAAAACGTGTTTTTGTTGTGTGTATGTGTGTGTGTGTGTGTGTGTGTGTGTGTGTGTGTGTTGTCAGTTATACTTCTATCAGTGGTGGTTTAAAAGAAAACTAAAAAAAACAAATGCTTCTTTTAAAATAGTTTTATAGTATTGGTATGTTTTTTTTTAAAAAAAATCCAAATCCTTTGAGTTTTGGGAACTCTGCATGTGTTGTATAAAAACACCACTTATGATCTTGTTATGAAATGACATCACTGAAGCAATATTAGGGATGGCATATGAAGTTGGCTTGATGACAGTAAAATCTCTCTTAAAGATTCTAATTTGTGCTCCTGGAAAATATCTCAGCAGTTGACTACTGTTAAAGCAGCCTATCCTCTGGGGACTCAGGTACAATCTCTCAGTGCGGTGAGGGGTGAGGACTCAGTGGAGTCCTGACCTTTGGCAGACAATGAAGAATATAATGAAAGGATAGCCTGAGCATAGTTCACTGGGCAGCCTCTGCTTGTGGAAGCCAGAGCCCTAGACACCTGAGCATTTTCTTTCCTGTAGATTTGCTTACTGTAGGAAAGTAGTCAATTGCTCACAATTATTTTGCTGATTTGTGTAATTTCTGCCTATCAATATGCCTTAATAGTGTGGGAGATCAATAAGTATTTATTGAAAGAGACTGTCTTTCATTCATTTATGTAAAGCAGAAAAATATTATAATCAATTAAAAAGTTGGTAGTGCAACCTGGCCGGCGTGGCTCAGTTCTGATTGGGATGGGCCTAGCAGACACCACCTGTGCTCAAATTCATATACGAGGCCTCTAGTTGTATATAATTGCTTTAAAAATGGTAGCATGGTCCCAACTGGTTTGGTTCAGTGGATAGAGCGTCGGCCTGTGGACTGAAGGGTCCCGGGTTCGATTCTGGTCAAGAAAATGTACCTTGGTTGTGGGCACATCCCCAGTGCAAGGTGTGCAGGAGACAGCTTATTTATTTATTTATTTATTTATTTATTTAAAATATATTTTTATTGATTTTTTTACAGAGAGGAAGAGAGAGGGATAGAGTTAGACACATCGATGAGAGAGTCATCGATCAGCTGCCTCTTGCACGCCCCCTACTGGGGATGTGCCCGCAACCAAGGTATATGCCCCTGACCGAAATTGAACCCGGGACCCTTCAGTCCGCAGGCTGATGCTCTATCCACTGAGACAAACCTGTTTCAGCAGGAGACAGCTTATCTATGTTTCTCTTTCATAATGTTTCTAACACTCTATACCTCTCCTTTCCTCTCTGTAAAAATTTATATATATATATATATATATATATATATATATATATATATATATTTTTTTTTTTTTTTTTTAATGGTAGCATGTTTTTCTTTGATAAACTCCTAAACTGGGAATCTATTCCTTTGAGACATAAAACAAAAAATGGATAAACCTTAAAAATAATTTTAAATATGTTTTCATTGATTTTAGAGAGAGAAAGGAAGGGAAAGGGAGAGAAACATTGATAGGCTGCCTCCTGCATGCCCCCTACCAGGGACCATAACTTGGGCTTGTGCCCTGTCTGGGAACTGAACCAGCACCTCTTGGTGCATAGGACAGCACTCAACCAACTGAGTAACAATAGTCAGGGCTGAATAAATTTTAAAAACTTAACCACTAATACCAAGAAGTAAGAACACTGCAAAGATTAAAAAAGAAATAATTTAGTCATTCATTCTTTGCAAGTTTGTTTTAGTACTCTAATTACCAGGGTTGTGATGGAGAAGAAGACAAAACCCCTGGATGAATTTAGATTATGGTGTAAAAGGTCGATAAGAAAACCTTATTTTAAAAATTTTGCAAGATAAATACCTATTGCCAGGATGCATTGTGAGAAGAACCTAACCCAGTCCTGGGAAGTGTTGAAGAAAGCTTTCCAAAGGAGGTAATTTCTAAGTTGGGCCCTTTTAGAGGAGGTAATGTTTAAACTGAGTAAGGAAGAGAAAATAGTGTAAAAGTGTCATGATAAAAGAACCACAAATGTTATTAGTCTCGGTTGATGGGATAAACAGAATGAAAGATAATGTTGAGAGAGCTTGGAGATACAAGCGTAATGCAAACGATAAAGGGATTCATGTCATACTTGGAGTTTGAAGTTTTATCCCACAGGTGATGGAAATTTTAAGGATTTTGATCAGGGATTTTTTTTTTAAATCACTTTGGCCATGTGTAGAGTTTGTGTTGAAGAAG